GACAAGTTGAGCGAGAGGTTCATACTCTGCGTCTTCTAGTTTCTTGACCTGTAGTTCTGCCGTGAAGAAGCCAGCTTGAACCAATCATGCATTTCAAGACCAGACCAGGGTCCCTGAGTGTTACCTTGAGGATCACGATAGATCCAGCGCATGCGGTCCGGCATCACCATCTGGCGCTGCTGGGCGGGAGGAAGTTGGTTAGAGGAAGAGCCACCAAATTGGCCCGCATTCTGGTTCGGTAAATTGCCGTCTAGTAATGGCTGGCTTGAAGGAATGGTGATTGTTCCCCCTGAGGTGACTGTAGGGGTGTGTGAAGTGGTGGTGGATGGGTGTGGTAAGCTTCCAGGCTTCTCCAGAGACGTGAATGGATCTGATGAACATATTAGTTTTGATATTAGTCCCAGCAGAGGGAGATACTCATAAATTATACTTACCCTGTGGCTTTCCAGTCTCGTCATTTGAATGAGACTGCTCATTGCGCATTTGATCCTGCATGGCAGGGGGGAAGAGAGAACCTAGTTTACTTGGACGTGAGGCTGCCCCCATGTTGGAAAGACTGGTTTGTGAGCCAAAGATGCCGCCTCCTCCTAGACCAGATGTGCTGGGCGACTGTAGGTCAGACATTGGCCCGAATATTGGGTCACCAAAGCCAAATGCAGGTCTCTCCCGCGTCGGCGTGCCAGTCGCACTACTTGTTGGCCATCCGCCTGAGTTACCCAGGGAACCCAGTCCACCTAACCCTCCTAGGCCGGGGAAGCCACGGTTAGCACCTACGCTCGACGTTTGACTACGGTCCGCAGCAGGAATGTCAGATATCATTCCGGGCCGGGGCATGGATCCAAACGGGCCATGGGCGGAGTCGTCACGCAGATCGCCAATGTTGGGAAGACGAGCATGTTGCTGGATATCAGAGCCTTCATTGTCACCATCTCCAGCACCGACACTGTTATCGTTATTTCGATCGCCACGCGGACTCTGATAAGGGTTAGTATGCGTTGGGCTCATAGGTTCATGGTGCGTATGGCTAGGGGGCTGAGATGACGCAACTAGATCACGAAGAGCGGATGTGCCTCCCGGCATCCCGAATGATGAAAGCCCGAACTGATCAATCCCTCCCATCTCCTGGCCTCCGAGGGCCGCACTACCGCTACGGCGTTCATCAAAGGGGTTAGTCTCGCTGCGAGAGGGTCGGTTTTTAAGAGCTTCTTCAGCAGTATCCCCGGGAACATCATCCTCGGCTTCGGGTAGGCGGTCAAGACCAATAGCAGACGGCTTTTCTTTGCTATTACCAGATATGTCTTCGGAGCTGGTTTTGGAGAGTAGGTTCTTAAACCGGCTTTCGCTGCGTACGCTTCCAAAGCCCGGTTTCTTGTCCATGGCATTCTGGGACCCAACGCCGCCAAGGGCAAAATTACCAAAAGCCCCTACCCCCATTGAACCAAAGGCTGAGCCCTGGTTAGAGGACCACGGAGAGGCGGATCCAACGGCACCAGTGCTAACAGGGTTCGTCGTACTTCGTTTAAGAGACCCAAACGGCGAGCTAATGTCGAACGAAGGGTCTCGTTCGGCAAAGCTCTTCTCCTTATTATCATCCCATTTTGAATCACTCGTAGAGTCTTTAATATCGGTTTTTCGACGCAGAATGGCTGGAGGAGGAGTCGCAGTGTTTGATTCCTCACGGAAGAAACGAGAGCCGGTAGGAGACAGCGGGTTTCCCGAATCTCCAGTTCCACGTCTTCGAGGCGCCGCGCGCGTAGAAGCCGGAGAAGTAGAATTAAATGCATTCATATGGCCATGAGAGATCGACGATTTGCGCCCAAGCGAACCGCCGCCTGAAGCTCCATCCTTATTAGCATTTTGTGGTGGAGGCTTGAGAGGTGAGTTGACAGAGGTAGAAAACAACTATAGCCAGAATATCAGTATATATATAAGACCTCGTCGTTGGATTAAGCAATGGGGAATTAGCGCCACGCACTTCTTTCTCCTCGTCGTTCATGTCCATTAAACCCAGAGGTTCACTCTGGCCCTTATGGTCCCAGCAGATCTCCGGGCCTGCAGCATTATTGTCTTTGGAATCATCCTGTTTGCCCCAACTTCCGTTGGTAGGTGGACGTTCGCTGCGGGGGTTCCAGTCGCCCATAAAATAACCTGAGATCGATTTCCCCCAGTCCTTCGACCCTCGTTGGTTCTTATACAGATTAAGTAGCTGCTCCTTGGAATAGGTACTATCGTTCCCACTACGCGCCGACTGATAATTGGAGTTGAGGTGGGGTGGGATATACGCAGCACCGGAAGGGTTAGAGGTGTTTGATGGGGCCTGCTGCGCGTTCTCTCGGCTGTGGGAAGGATTGGTAGCAACAGAAGGTCTGCGGAAGGTCTGCGTAGCTCCGTTCATGCGATTTCGAGACCTTGATATACAGGTTAGCCGGGCCGAAATAAACCAGGAAAGAACTTGATCTGCACGAAGAGCAGAAAGAAGAAAACCACAGGCTGGCAAAGCCGCATCAATTCTCCAGCAAGAGCAGGTCCGTACCATTCACCACTATTCATAACATCTCTCCTCGAGCCAGAGGCCGAATCTTGTGTGTTTCCAGCGGCCGCAGAGGCAAAGGTGGATGGCAGAGGCGAAGACATAGTGTAGTCGATAAGCTGGAGAGCACAATCAGCAACCGTAGCAGCAGCAAACAGGCGAGAAACAGTGTCCGTATATTTCTTCTTCGTTTCTTCTTCACTTCTTCGGCATCTTCTTGTATATCAATCCAGGTGATGGAAAAACTGGGACACACGACAACTTCTGCTTACCAAAGCGTGCAAAGAGCCAGGGGCGCGCCAATAGTAAAGAGGGAAAGGAAGAATCGGAGTAGACAGGCGGTCGATAGAGCTGTATATCAGAACTAAAAGCTGGTGGTCGAAGAAAAAGTCGCTTAAAAGATGTGCTTTGTTGGCGTTTGAAGAAGAAGAAGAAAAAAAAAGAACTTGCAACTTTTGTCTTTTCGCCCTTTTCGGATGGCTGGAGTGGGAAAAAGGCGGGCAAATCACGGGACTGCGTGGAAGTAAGCGTTCCAGCGGTAGAAGTCACATGATATGCTTCGCGTCTGGTGGCAGAAGACTAAAGCCACGCATAAGCCTAGAGCCACGCACTTTTTGACGACGAAGCGAGGAAAAAGTTCAAAGTTGAAAGACGATGATTTTCTCCAGACAAGCAGAAGAAGGCCGGTTTATTACGCTATGGGTGGGATGTGAGGGTGCAGATGGATTGGTTAAGGCATCTTTCGGCTCTGGCAGAGTTTACTGGCTTCGGCTGCGGTGGAAGAAGAGCCTGTTACATCACCATGGCAGACATATTTTATGAGAGGCTCTGCAAGAAAGGCACTGGAAAGAAGCTCTGGGGGTGGCTACAGGATGCAGGCATGGTATGCAGGGCTAGGGATTTATGCAGAAGAAGTCAGGTATGGGCAGTATCACCGTCAAGGGGACTTGATCACTGACGGCCTTAGGGTGGTTTCAAGTTGTCCAAGATATCCGCATGGCCCTGCAAGATACATACTGGCTACGCTGGTATCAACGTCATACCTTCGCCCTCTAGTCAGGCCGGACCTGGCGGGGACGGTTCTTTCGGGCCTAACGAAACTACTCCAGACTTTCCAGGGCATTCGCCAGATGTTGCAGAGTTGTTTGCCCCGAAGCAAGTTTGCTTCCTTTTCAACTCTTTTTTTTTTCTACCTTACCCCAGGAAGAGAGCTCCTTCTGCTGCCTGACTATGGTCTATATCAAACGGGGAGAGGTGTTGTCTCGAGCCCGGTGATATAGCAAACAAACACTGTGCCCACTCGGTATACTGCAATACCGTTGAGGGTATAAATATGGGAGTATCTGGCTTGACCAAATCTCCTCCTTTCCTTTACTTTCTCAATATTAGTCTTTGAGCTTGTTAAGAGCTACAATGTCCTATGACGAGACTAAAGGCCATCCTATATATCCATGTCTACCATGCCTTCATTCCCCTTCAGGCGTCAAGGTGGCAATGGTAGCAACCAGAGAGGACCCCTAGACTACTCGGGCATCCAGCCTGGTCGAACGATGGCCTCTGTGATTGGACGTCGTCGTTTTCCACACATACACGCACCCGGTCCCGGGTTCAGAAGTGCAGAACACCTCGTCAGACAGCCACACCCTAGAGCACAAGCTCACTATCAGGACATCCCCGTACAGGCTCGCCACGGTCTATTCAACGATACCCATAACCGCCATCAAGTCGGCCCGCAGACTCGAGCCCACATATCCGCACATCAACTCGCACATATGCGAGGGGCGCAAACTGTCCCAGTTCGCGCCGTTGCCGATGGTCACAGATGCCATCAAGCCGCTTTTACACCTACCACCCGCCCCCAGCCTCGTCGTGTGCATCTCGTCAACCTACAAACTGGCCCACCCGTAACTATACGTGCTCGACGGCCAGATGGAAGGCATCACGCCGACCCCCGCCCCTGTCATCACAGACGAAGACGACTCCACGATACGTCTGATATATACACTGACGGGGAGCATACAGTAGTCTTCGACGAATCTGATTGGTCCTCTGACGACGAGTCTCAATTAGGTGTCCCATCCTTCCTCAGGGAGGAACATGATCGCAGACGCCGGAGGCGAACTGGTCGACGGCGTGTGCACTCGAGGGACCGTTCACCTGATGGCTCGTCTGCAGATGAGTCTATATTTGTCTTCGATGATGAGTACGATGAGCCATGGTCGTCGGACCGACGCTGGGATGACTCGCGCTCGTATGTTCGAAAGAGGCCTGAGGATATGTACTGGTGGTTTGGGCAGTGATTCCGTCTTTTCTCATATACCGTGCAACAGATATTCTCTATTCTTTACAATAAACTTTGATTAGTAAAATCCACTTTGGCTGACTATGTATAAACATAAGACACTTAGTCGTTCACTTTCCTGGTAAAGCCATTTTTTATGGCAAGGAACTACATGATCCCGTGATTCCTTCCGCGGCTTCCACGGCTTTCAACTTCAGCTCGAGTTAGCATGAAATTTCACCAAAACATCCACCAACGCGTCGAAAACCAGGAGAAAGAGACTCAACTCCGCAATCTATTTCCAGCGGGAGAAGCATACAACAAATTCCTTATGTGACTGGATAACCCTACAGACGGATTCCTCCTTTACTCCTGGTAAAATATTCACCTTGTCCTCATCCATATACTTATAGGTCTCGATAAATCTATTAGTTCCATCCGCTTAAACAGCAGTGATGTCGGCGCCTAAGAAGACTTTTACCAAGGAAGACTTTCAACAAGGTACAATTAGCCCATGGAGCTGAACGGGAAGGGCGCGCTAACCTTTCTAAAAGCTCTTATCTACCTAGACGAAGAGATTGGAAAGTCAAAAAACTTACGAAAGGCAGCTCCAATAAAACTCGTGGCGGTCGGCGGTTTTGTTGCAGTGACCTACTTCGAGAATAGAACGACCACGGAGGATCTAGACTACATGGTTGACCCGTCGCTCAAAAATCTGGAGAAAATTCGCGAGAAACTTGTTCGGGCAATCAGTAACGTGGCTGAAAAACAAGGCTACGATGACGATTGGGTCAACGATAGGGTCCAACAGTTTGCTTTTGGTGATTTTGCTCTGCCTCTGTTCCAGGACTCGGTGGCCCAGAATGTCGTGTTATGGGAAGGAAAAAATCTCCAAGTTTACGCAGTCAAGTGGGAATGGTCACTAGCACGGAAAGGAA